TATTCCAAAGTTGTATGTTGATATTCATGCATAGCATCTGGCCACAAGACTCTAGTATGGTCCCACTGAGCTCTCTTCTTCTATACCTACAATACAATGTTTCTATTGTGCATAATATCTATATGTATGCAACTATCTGCCACGTGCATGCAAACGCGCACACGTGTGTGTGTGTGTGTGTGTGTGTGTGTGTGTGGGTGTGGGTGTGTGTGTGTATACACACTGGGACTTTGGTTTAATTCAGGAACATTTTTCTCTGCCCCTCTTCAGATATTACTCATGGTGACAGGGAATGAGACTTGACCAGGTTATAGTCCCAGAAACTTAGAAACTTGTTTTTTAATAGATGTGGGCTAGAGATTAAATTAAGCAATACAGGACAATTTTTGAGTGGAAAAGTCAATCACATGTTCCCATAAGCTATCAAAATACATCATTACATGTTTATAAAGGCTGCACATTGTTATCAGTAAATTTCTCCTTCATTAAGAGTCACAATGTTGCTCAGCACAGCCACTGGTTAAAGCACCCTATGCTCTGAAGGGCTGCAGCCTCCATTAGAAGGCCTGTGCAGCAATTTCAAGTGGACATTTCTGTGTAGCAGATATGGAACACAGTGAAAGCCAAGTCCAGAGGAAAATCACCCAGGCTACAGTGCACACACACCCCTGCCCAGAGGTGGTGATAAATGTTGTATTTAACAGTGCTACAACTCCTTATCTGCAGAACTCCTGGCATAGTCATTTGGAACACACAGTCAACTTTCAGTGGCAATGTATGTGAAAAGCAATTGCAACTCCTTAAAATTCTCTAAAAATGCCACACTAAAATAAAAATGAAACTTGGCCCCTTAATTGTTTTTTTTTTCCATTCACTGATTAAGACAAAAAAATTGTGCTTGTTTCAGTATTAAGGAATTAAAACCTCCCTTGAGACTTCCTCTGCCCTGGGCGAGGGTCCATCTGCCCATCACGGCAGCCTGGCCAGCTTGCACGCAGACATTCCCCGTGAGCTGTGATCTGAATAACTTCACACTGCACTGGCCAGGGCCCAGAATGAAATGCTTGTGCCTTTAAATCATTACCCTAGGAAACTAAAAATAGGACTGTCAATTAATATGTGAGCGATAAGAGAAAACGCATTTAAGATGTATAGCTGCTGTGACTGAGCTTCCGGCCTCGAGTGGCCGAGAATGTAGATGACGAGAAAGCAAGAAAATGGCAGCTTGGTCAGCCTCTCGGAAAGCTGAGGAAGCCAACGGCGCGGGCGTGTGGCGCCCCTGTGAGTGTGTGGTCCCCAGTGTGAACGGGCAGAGCACGGCGCTTGACTGCGAGCCTGGATGTGAGGCTGCTGCTTTATGGCTCAGACAACAGCACTACTCCCCCATCCCCACACAGGCATCACTAGATTGGGAATGCATATGTGGTGGGGTGGTCGGATGCACAGGCCTCCGTGCAGGCTGCCTAGGCTTCTTAGTAATGAAGTATGGGGGATTTACTTTTCCTTATTTTCCCATTTCTTCGTGCATATATGGGTATTTTGATGTTTTCCTGTGCCTGTTTTGTGGAGACCCGTGGTTGGTGTCAGCCATCTTTCTCTATTGTCTCAGTTTTGAGACAGATGTCTCACTAAACCCAGAGCTCACCTAGTAGGCTGAGCAGGCTGGCCAGCGAACCCCATGGACCTTCCCGTCTTCATCTTCCCATGCTGCTGATACAAGAGTGCACCACTATGCCTGTTTTATTTGTTGTTGTTGTTGTTTGTTTGTTTTTGTGTGGCTTGGGGATAAAACTAAGGTCCTCCTGCCTGCAGATCAAGTACCTTTACTGACAGAGCCATCTGAGCAGCCTCTAGGTTTTTAAACATTTTTAATCTTAATTTAAAATTTTTGAGAGGAGGAAAGGGGAGAAAAGGAAGGAGGAAGTTTGGAATGGAGGGAGGCAGGAAGAAAGCGTGTGTTAGGGGTGAGACCTGAAAATAGGCAATGAGTGTTCTTTGCCAAAACACAATTGTTATTTTCTTCAGTGCTCAGAAGAACTGGAAATCCCTTCAGAGAAGAAAGCTAGAACAGAAGCTAATTACATCATTTACATTTGCATATAATTGGTATGCCTTCCAGCTAAGACAATAAAATCCACGTTCGTTAGAGTTCTTGCTAAGGCATGATGCGTTTCAGAGATGCTGTGTATCTGTGGGTGTGAAAAATTCTCCATCTCATCCTCGGTAGCTCTCAAGTGGATAGAGGCTGCTTTAGAACCAGCCTGAGCTTGGCCAAACCACATAACCTTGGGCATCTGACCTTGAGGCCTGGCTTTCTCTCCTGTAGAGGGAGATGAGAAGCCTTCCTTCCTCTCAGGGCTACTCCTCCCCCAAAGAAGTTAAATCATACGTTTGAAGAATTCAGTTTTGGCAACAGTCTGCAGACAGCCCATGATGCTCTGGTCTTTCTGAGTCCACGGACCACCACACCAGGGGCATCGTGAGAAACGGATTATGCCCAGAGCAGGAGGGAGAATCAAGAGCCTGACTAGCGTAGGCTTTGTCCCACCTAAATGAGTGACCTGATTCCCATGTGTCATCCAGATTAGTGGTGCCCTGGGGACACCTGCTCAAGTGCTGTACCCCATCCACATACACATTGGATGCCGCAGAACAGAGAGTGAGAGACAGACTCTGGACATGGCCTGGAAGGACTACCTCCATTTATACCTATCGAAACCCCCACATCCTGGGCTTCTCGGAGGCAAGGCCTAGAATCAGCAAACCGGGGCTGGGCTGAGGAGACCAAATGCTGCATTGCAAGGGCCCCGGCTCTCTATGGCCCACGGCCCTGCTTACTTCGTGATTAACTGAGCCCGACGACGGTCCCATTCACACTGGCGAGCTCCAGCCACGACATGTCGTTGCCTGTCTGTCCATCACTTTAAGCTGGTCTTGCTGATTCAAGTGACCACTGTAAACTGGGTCCCCAGCCCTTGACTGTAGACACGGGGCGCTGATGAAGCCTAGCTGTGAAGGCCCAGGGTTCTCCATTGTTCTCTGCTCTTTGAAGTACGGGACGCTTTTTTTAGTCTTCTGTTCAAGGACACACACACAATTCATAAACTCCAGTAATGTTAAACTTGAGCCCAGTCCCACCAGGAGCCTGGCAGTTTCTCCAGCCCATGGACTTCACGGTACACTGGGGTTGCAGGGAAGTAGCCTGAACTATGGCTTTTACAGAGAGAAAGAAAATCCCTGAACATCTCAGACAAGTCAAATAAGAAACAGAGAAATGGGGACATGGCTGACATATGAAAAGACAACACTGTCATTTATGCTTGAGGGAGTGCTGAGGAGGGGGTACAGGTGCCTTGAGCCATGCTGCCCCAGCCCTCGGAGGACTGAAAGCTGATAGTACTTTATCTGCTTATAGGACCCTGGACAATTCCCTTAACCTTTCCACATTGGACTTTGCTCACTTCTAAAATGACAATATTCCCCTCAGAGGTGTTACTTAAGCTCACAAAACACTACAAGTGGCTATTATTCTTATTTTCCACATGAATAGCAGAAACTTAGAGAGGCTCAGTAACTTGCCCAAAGTCACACAGCTAACAAGCTGCCATGACCACTGGAGACCACACTGGGAGTGCCTCTGCCTGGAAACACTATCTCCCCTGTCCTACTGGGCGTGGGGGATGATTCCTGTTGCTAGGTCCAGGCTGGCTTACAGGCACCAGCCTGCTACTCCACAGAGAGTAACAGGAAGGAGAGACTGACCTTGTACTGGGAGAGCAGGAGAGGGTTCCTATTGTGTCATTCGGGTCCTGTTCAGGTCATTCCAGGTGTCTCACGACAGAGGGTCTTTGCAGGGCACCCTCAGCAAACCACTCTCATCATGCTCTGTGCTTTGTGGTCCACAGTACACGTGAATGTGTACGTGGTGTGTGCACCTCCAGCTCCTTCCTCCCAATCCCGCCATTCCCAGCACTTGGGAGGATGCATTTTACTCCTTGACCATCTAGATTCCAACAAAATCAAACAGAAGTGTCATGGAGGAAAGAGAAAAAATGCCTGGACAAGGAGCACGCAGCTTTGGTCTGCCCCCTCTCTCTGTCTCCCTCTTTGAGAATCTGGCACTGGGAGCATAGCTCTTGCCTGCCAGGGACAGAGCAGCAGAGACTTGGCCGTGGTCTCAGCCAGATGTCACTCTCATCTGGCGGCCTTGGCTAGCTCAGTGTTTGGAATGAACAGCCCAAACACGGGGCAGGAGGGGCCCCTGTAGGACTGTGAGCAGAAAAGCTGAGCCCTGGCGACGCCCAGAGACATCTTTCTCCTTAAGGTTCAGGCGGGCAGCAGGAAAGAGGACATCAGAAGGGCAGCTGTCTTCACTCCTGACTACCCCCTTCCCTTCCTAGATCCCTATCTAAGCGGTGGACATAGCCATATCTTGTTATTTTACCAGAGACCTAATTACCACTCTCCTCACCAGGGGAGCAGCTTCCAGAAGACTTGTGTGTCTAATGTACATGGACCCCACTCAGGAAAACAGAAAGAGCCAAAAGTGGCCCAGCCCCTACATCTGGAGCCCTGGGGTCCCTGCAGCCCAACCTTTGTAGCCTCACTGGACCAAGGCCTATCATACCTGGGGAGCTATGGAAATCCAATCTTGCCCTGTATCAAATGCACGAGCAAAGAGCCACACACTGTTCCACTACCACGAAGGAGGGCAAGTCGGACCTGCCTGGAACAAGGATCCACTAGATTCACAGTCTTTCGAATGCTGAAGGGTCCCAGGCTGAGGTGTGGAGGGGGGTGTAGTCCCGGAAACCTGTGGGGTTCTGAGAGGAGCCTGGCTGCATCTGCAGCCAGAGGCAAGCTACCTCCAGACAGAGTGCAGGCTGATCTGTGTGTCAGTGAACACATCAGCATGTGCAGGGGGCGGCCCCATGTGCTGCCTGCCAACGGGCCCATTTTGGTCACCATCTGCAGTAGAGAGTGGGACACCTGTCAGAAACAGCTGCTGATGGCAGATCGGAGGTGGGGGTTGCTTTGTGGTGGCCCGGAGCTGGGCACGCTGCCGGCCTACAGGAATGCCAACTGTGTGCCTGGTGTGGAGGGAGGCAGTGAGAGAACCCTCTTCCTTACTTTCCACACAGACAGGGTGCCCACCACCACTTCCTACCTCCCTGGACATAGGTTCTAGTCAGTCTGTTGTCACTCTCATGGGCAGAAGAGACAATAGGATTCCCAGAACACCCTGGGAGGAGCCCAAGACCTTCTTGGGTGAGCACCTCAGGTAAGTCTGCAGGAAAAACATGGCGCTGGGCATCTTCCTGACTCTGCAGGAAAGGGTGCATAGCACTGAGGTGATAAGTTGGACTTTTTCTTTTATGGTCACTCTGCTGGGGGGAAGAAGGGGGCACTGATCTTCTATCTGGGCTTTTCTTTTTAAGTAAATGAAGCTCACTTTATCAGCACAAAATGAAAATCTTGAATACTGTAATGATTTTTAGTGGAAAATCTTCCCAAGTGAGTTATACACACCACCATCTGTCATGCTTTCACCAGCCACCGAGTCTTTATGTGTTCCTCATGTTAAGTAGCCATGGCTCATGGGCATTGCCTGCTCTGCTTCCGTCAACTCTGACACCATTCTCAGTAGTAGGTGTGGCTTTTATACCTCTTCCCCAGATAGGAGGGCTGAGCTGTCAAGCCTACAGGGACTCAAGGGGTCACAGGGCTCAGGCCCAGCCATCTGCTGTTACTTCTTCATCTGTGTCCTAACACATCCTAAATTTGTTGGGCCTCAGTGAGTGCCTGTGATTGTGAGAATACACTGACATGTACTGAGCCTACCAGAATGTGGGATGTATGTGCTGTGCTCTGGCTTTTCAGGACTATCTGATGGCTGGCCAGCCTTTTGAAGGTGACAGGCAGGAGCAACTACAACATTAGAGGTGCATGCTACCTGCCTGGGCCCTCCTAACTTCCTTTGGATCTGTGTCATCTCAGCAGCCACAGGGTCCATGGGACCCTTGTGCAGCAGCTGGGAGCCCAGCATCCCTGTGTCCTGCTTGTCTATCACAGGCCTGTTGGGCTGTGTGAAGACATGGTACTCTCCCTCTCACAGAAGGCCATAGGATTTGCCCTTGTGACTGGGTATGCCACTTAGGGATGCCACACAGTGAGACATCTGGAGTCTAAACTCCATGCATCTGCTTTTCTCTCCATGCTGTGACCACCGTTCCCTTTGTCCTGGGTAGCAAGTTTCCAGACCTTTCCTGAACAGCCCCATAACATTCACACCTGTGGCTTCTCATTCACTGGAGAACAAGAATCCCTCGCTTCATGTGCGGGAGTACTCAAGATGCAAGAAGTAAGTATGGTGGCTTTGATGGAGGACCTGATGACCTATTATCTGCATGCTCTGAAGCCATCCTCTTTCCGGATACTTGACCTCACTCCATTAACCAAGAGGTGCTTCGGCTGTGGGTTCTGTGGGCAAAGACTTGAATAGATATGATGTTCTCTTCGATCCTCAGAAACAAACCCTTCTAAATAGCAGCAGGAACCTGGCTTATGACCTATTGCCAGGGCCAAAGGCAGGGAAGACAAATTTACATTTTAAACCCTAAGATTGGAAAGTTCCTTGACGCTTCTATATTGTGAAAGGAAATCACCCCGATACCTCCTAAACATATTCACCCGAGAGCTTGTTGAACACTTGCAACTAAGCATTCTGTGTGAAGGGTGTTTCCCCAGCATGCCCATGCCCATGTTGGGACAGGGTTTCTTTGCTGACACTCTCTCTACTACTCTGTACCTCTCTTCAAAGCTGGCTGCCATATTTGGAATGAACGCCATAGGCTTCCAGTCGCTTCCACTGAGTAACCTGGGCAATGGGATAGCACCATGTGAGGACACTGTATTGTTGCTCATTTGGAATGAGACTGTGCAAAGTGCAGTTTCAGAGCTTCCTACAAAGCCCTGATAGGGGCCTGAGACCCTGGAGGAAAGATGCATACTGTAAGGCAGCAGGTCTCAACATGTGGGGGTGTAACCCCTTTGGGGGTCACACCTCAGATGTTTACATTACAATTCAACAGTAGTAAAATTACAGCTATGAAGTAGCACTGAAAATGATGTTACGTTTGAGGGTCACCACAACATGAAGAATTGTATTAAAGGGTTGAAGCATTAGGAAGGTAGAGAACCACTTCCATAAGGGCTTCTTCCTCGGTTTAGGGGCAACTCCCTATCAGCTTAATACTTGGGAATGGGCAAGAATTAAGCCTAGTACAGCCGAGGTAACTGGAATCATGGAGAGAGTGGATAGCAGCTCCGAGCTACAGCCACGCTCGAGATGGGCTCCACATGGGAGAGCCAGCGGATCTGAGCAAGGGCCTTCCATGCTAAGGCCTGCCATCTTCCTCTTTACTTCACATAACGCTGCCCCTTTGAAGCATTTAACTGTGAAACCCAATACACTGCGTACATTCACAGTGTTGTGCAGACATCGCCACCACCCATTTCCAGAACCTTTCTATCATTCCAACTCCATGGTAGCTGGATTGTATGATGTCCTTTTGTGTCTGGCTTATTTCATTTATATCATGACTACATCGGTCACTCAGATTACAGCATATATTTAAATTTCATTCCTTTTCAGGCTGAATATTATTTTACTGCACATGAAGGCCACAGCTATTTTGTTCATATGTTCATCATTAATGGACAACTGGGTCATTGCTCTTCTAACTATTATGAATGACAATATATGGGCCATTATATGCCCATATGCCTGGCACAGTGTACCTGTCACCTGTGCCCTGTGAATCTCACTGTACTAATATTTGAGTTCCCATATACAATTACTTTGAATAGATACCTAGGAGTGAAATTGCTATGCATCCTGTGACATTTCCTGGGGAGACTATTTAAGAAAAGCCTATTAATTGCAAATATAGAGGCCAAGAACAGAACAAAGAAACGATTCCGTCCAACTCCATTTTGGTGAACTATTGTGTTAATTGAACACATGTGATTATAGGCAGCTACACCACAGAAGAATCCCATGGGCAGCTTATAGGTAGTTACACTATGGAAAGGTTCCCCACTCAATTGTTTACCTCTTTATGATGGCTCATTTTGTCAAGTTGGCAGACTCTAGACTCACTTAGGAGAAGGGCCTCTGAGAACATCTGTGAGGGATTATCTTAATCTTAATTATGTTAATCGGTGTGGGAGGACTTGCTCACTGTGGGCAGCATCATTCTCTAGGCTTGAGATCTTGGACTGAATAAAACACTGACAATTAATTCATTGTTTTCTTGCTCTTGACTCCAGATATAATGGGATCAGCTGCTTCAAGTTCCTGCCATCTTGATTTCCCCAGAGTAATGGACTATACTCTGGAACTGTGAGACAAATAAATCCTCTCTATCTCAAGTTGCTCTAGTCAGGATATTTTTACCATAGCAACAGAAAAGGAACAAAGACAAATACCTGGGGAGTTGAGGGATCTCGTGAGAATATCATGCAGGCTCCTGATTCACCCTAGTCTTTTCAGGAGGGAAGGCTAATGGGCCCACAACCCAAGTAACCTCAAGCTGCAGATCAAGGTGATCTGGATCCAGATGGCAACCATTGTGTCGAACCCAGGGGGACCATTTGAACGACAGTGAGATGCAGGATGTTTTTACTTTTTGAGGAACCATCTAAAAGAGGGGAGTGCCTTCTTGTATTGCCATCACAGTATGCAGGGGTCTCCTATCTGTGCCTCCCCCCAACACTTCTTATCCTCTATCTTCTACACTTTAAAACACCACCTACACCACCCATCCTTGAGGCTGTGAGTACCTCACTGTCAGTTTGATCTTCACTTTTTCATTTCCCTAATAGGCATGCTCTCTTATCAGGTAATAATACCTTCACTGGTGAGGTGTCTATAGCATTGTTTTCTTTCTCTTCCTTTTCTTCTCAGTTTTGAGGACTGAACCTAGATATCTACCTGGACACACAAGGCAGGGCCTCTGCTGCTGACCCACACTCCAGCCACTGACCATTTTGGAAATGGGTTATTTGTATTTTTCTTGTAGAAGGGGGAGGTGTTTTCTCCATAACCTGGATACTAATTCCTTATCAGACACATGATTCAAAAAGCCTTTTGCAGCTGGGTGGTGGTGGCATGTGCCTTTAATCCCAGTATTCAGGAGGCAAAGACAAGTGGATCTCTATGTTTGAGGCTTGATCTAGTCTACAGAGTGAGTTCCACGACAGCCAGGACTACAAAGAGAAACCCTGTCTTTAAAAAACAAAAAAGCAAAACAAAAAAAAAAAGGAAACCCTTTACCAGTTTGGTGTGTTGTCTTTTCCGTTCCTGATCACTCTTTGATGCACATCAGTTTTAATTTATTTCCTTGTCTCACACTGTATGTGCTTTGGGTACCCACAGCCCTGGAACCAGTGTAGAATTACATCGGATGAAGATTTTCTCGTGCATCTTTGTTAAAACTTCCTGTTTCAGCTCTTGGTCTAGTCTGTGGCTTTCTTTGAGACTGCTCTTGTATAGTGTAAGGTAAGGACTCACGGCTCTTTTGCACACACCTCCATTCATATAGTTGGGTGTCCAACTAGCCCAGTACATCTGCTGAAAATACTAACCTTTCCCAGTGACCACATGCCATGGTTCCATTGTGAATTGTCCCATATAGGTCTTTGTGTTTGAAATTTCAGTCCCCAGCTGGTGGCACTGTTTAGGTAGGCTGTGGAACTTCTGGGATATGGTGAGCCTCGGCTGGAGAAGGCAGGTCACCAAGTGCATTCTTTTGAAAGTTATAGCCCACCCCGCTTCCAGACCTTTGCTGTGTGATCTCCCAGGATGTGAGGCATTCCCACTGCTACTGATGAACCTGGCTCTGTGGCTACGATGCACTGTATACTCTGAAATTGGGAGCCAAAATAACCACCTCCATGCACACTGCCACAGGAACACACAGCCTTGTGGAAGGCAACTGACGACATTTGAGCTGCGCCCTCCTAAATGTGTCTCAGTCACTGCCATCTCAGCAATGCAACCCCCACGGCAGGGTGACAATGGTTCATCCCGGACATCTCTCAACTAGACTGTCATGGCCGGCAGGGTGTAGGCCCCTAAAGCAAGTACAGGAAATACAGGGTTCAGACTCAGCGTGGATCCACACATTTATTTCTTCTCACACATCTGTTTACCCTTTCAGCCACACCGTGGGAACCTTGATAGACTTAGCTCCAACCTTGCTCACTCACCCCCCCCCCACGCGCGCCTACATACAAGAACATGAATGCACACAGTTGAACTGGCTCCATGTCATCTTAAGACCCTATCTCTGATTTGTTACTCATTGTCTCTTTTCCTCTCCTCTAGAGAGGCTGTTACCATTTCTTACCTGTCCCAGCTCTGCCAGACCAGGCCAGCCTCTGCCCTCCTGCAGAAAGATCCTGTAATGTGCCAGTCTCAATACACACACACACACACACACACACACACACACACACACACACACGCACGCACGCACGCACGCACGCACGCGTGCACACACACACATACACACACACACAATTTTCCAGACCCCAAAGCTTCAGATCCCATTTATTTTGACCCTCACGCCTTCTCCCATCATTTCCCTTGTCTGGAGAGTCCTCACACCCCTCCCCCTCCACCCTGTTTCCAGTACAGCTCAGTTGTCACCCCCTTGGTGGTGGCCCAGGATCGTGGCCAGTACTGTGCACCTGAAGCAAACCTGTGTCCTTCCTACGTGCTGCAGTTTATTGGTCCGATAGCAACAGTGATGACCAGTACTGCAGTCTGGCCAAGCCCGCTGTCACCGCCCCTTACGCCATAGTGGGTGGAGACCCCTACCCAACACTCAGCCCAGGAGATCGTGCATGCGTCTCCTCCTGGTTTTGTCCACTTCTTCCCCTGGATGTGAGGCACTTGAGGACTGGAAGTGTCCTCTTTTCACCTTTGCCGTCCCAGCCGGGACCTGGCACACAGCAGGTGCCGATAAATATTTGCTAAATAAAGGATTGCATGACTTCAAACTCGGCTTTTAAAGTTCTGCAGCCCTTGGAAAATTCCACAGTTTAGGCAGCTGCTCCTGTCCTCTGTGCAAATAGGCACTTTATCAATCCAAGGCTGGCAGCAGATCTGCTGAGCCCAACTCGTGCCTCGGGCTTCTTCCCAGAGCGGTTCCTCCACTCAAGCGGCGCTGCATCTGCCTCCCCTGATAGGTGCTTCTGCCAGGAGCCAGAAAAAGCTTGATACAGCAACCCCCCCCCATGCTATTTTCAAAGCGGATTCAGAAGGAATGGTGATATTTTTTGCCCTTAAGAACAAGACAGCTCCTTTGACATAATAAGGTTAAAAAAAAGAAAGAAAAGAAAAAGAAAGGGGGAAAAATCCTACACCGCATTTCCTTTCAGCTGGGTGGAAAAAGCCCAGTCTCCAGTTCCAGCTGGCAGGCTGCTGGACTCTCGCTTCTGAGGAGAAGGGGAGCGGAAAGATCAGCCCTGTGCAGCTGAGGAATTATTTTTGGCTGTGCAGCTGGTGAGGAGTTGCTGGCAGCAAGCAGCATCTCCTCAGCACCGAGGCAGGGGCATGACACTGCACGGGCAGAGGAGCCCTCTCTGGGCTGGGCACCACACCTTCCTGTTGGTGACACTCACAGGTTGGATTGACCCAGGGCAAAGGAATCCCAGTGGCTGACCCAGAGGCCATAGGATCTGAGTAACTCTGGGCAGAAAGGGATGTTTACTGAAATGATGGCTCCAGGGAATGCTTGCTGCTGCCCTTGAGGAGAGTCCTCTGTTGAAAGGGAGAGGGGACTTACTATCTTGAACTAAAGCAACATGAGGACAGGTAAGTGAAGTGCCACAAAGCCAGAATCCAGGTCTTTCGTAGGGAAGGGAGCAGTCCCTACAATAGTGGTATCTGACTAAGAGAGAGTAGCCAGACCTTTCACACAAGAGTGAACTGTCTATCCACCAGGAATGCTGTAAGAACCTCCTTCGGGTTGAGTGAGAGAAATCCAGCTTCTTAAACTTTGCTGATGAGTAGGGGGGTCCGGGGGCACAGTGGAAGACAGTGGAGGAGTCTATGAGATTAGCTCTATGGCCAGTGAAGACCACTTCTTTTTTTCTTGAAACAAGGTCTTTTGTATCTGGGGCTGGCCGTGAGCTTGCTATGCAGCTGAAGCTAACTGGACTTCTGGTTCCACAACTCCACCTCCTCAGTGCTGGGATTATAGGCTGTGCCACCACAAGTGCCATCATTTCCGGTTTATATGGGGTTGGAACACAGGACTCCATGCATGCTAGGCAAGCACTCCACCAACTGAGCTTCATTCCCGGCCTGAGATCCACATTACTTAAGAGCCTCAAAAAAAGGGTAGATTTCTATACAGGACTTAAAAGATCCATTTTCTCTGAGCAGAAGCACAGCATTCTTACCAGCCCACGTTGAGCCAGTCTGCTCTGCCTAGCAGGATAATGATGAGGCAGCCCAAGGTCAGGGTTAACTCAAGAAGGAGCAGAGGCTTCTGCCTACTCTGCCTGTCAGAGCACTGTGACAACAGCCTTGTTTCTCTGTCCTTTTTTCTTTTTCAGATAATTTAGAACAACAGGAATAAAAAGTCCTAAAGACTAAGAAAAACCCACAGTGTTATTCAAGAGAGTTTTTTTGCATTAATATTCTATCCAGATACTCAATACTTCACGTCTTCCTGTAAAATGTGGCACATTTCAGAATGGGAATCTAAAGCAAGAAAGTATGGAGAAGATGCAGTAGCTCCTGCTGGCAGAGTGTTCAAGCTTAGAGCTCTCCAGGTGTGTGCCAGCCTGCTTCTAGCTCATCCTGGATGAAAACATGGGGAAGACATAGCTCTGTCCCCAGGGGACTCCTGCACAGCCCACTGAAGCCTGGACCAGCCAAGGGTGCTAGGAAAGAGCCCCCAGCAGCCTCTTTAGTGCTCTCCCACGATGAGCTATGCTGATCTCCTCACCCACCAGGATCCTGGCCCCCAAACCCCATGCTCTGCAGGTCAAGGGTCTTCTGAATTTCCTCGTAAATGGGTTCAACCCAAGGGATATTCATGCAGCTTCTATAAAGTACCAAATCCATATTTAGTCCCTTCCTTAGTAATAAGGAAGGAGAGAAGGTTCTAGTGATTTGGACCCTTGGTTTGTTTATACCTACTATTTATTCCACAAACATCAGAGGGGGCTCATAAAGACACAGCATGGCCAGAGGAAGTACATGGTGTAGGAGAAGGCTGAGCCAGGGATAAAGGTAAAACATATGCCCATGGGTCACTGAGTCCTTTCCTGTTGCTAAAACAAACACAGCTGTGACTATACCACTCAGCAGACAACATCCAAGCTGTCTGGGTATGGAGAGCCTTACGTAGAGT